CCGGACCCGGGAAAACCTAAATTTTCAGACCCGGACCCGGACCCGGACCCGGTCGGGTCCGGGTTCGGGTCCGGGTCTGGAAGGACCCGCAGCTCTCTACTTTGAAGCCTACAACCACCTGAGTGCTTAGCCCAGGTGCTGCTTGCATCACATTTTCAGATCCATCTGGACAGTTCTTCGAATGAGGGATTTCTGTCAACTGATAAATCATTTTTAAGTTGAGACCATGTGACATATATAGACCCAAATGAGCGGTAAATACCGCCAAAGGATTTTGTGCCCTTAACTTATTGCTGTGGAAATAATACACTTGTATACCATTTTTTTAATGACAGCCGTAGTCCTCTACAGAAACATTAGAAAAACTCATTGTCGTATTACTACCTGAAACTTTACGTAGAGGAAAATCTTAATGAGAATAATCTATTCTGAAAATTTCAGACGTTTTCGCTGTTCCTATGCTAAGATAGAGCTAGGGTAAAAAGGTGTCTTCTAGATAGCCCACACCAAAAGACTCGATGTTTTTATTCCAGGATAGAAGCAAATCAAAAGAATTGAACTTGCACAGTAAACTACTATCCTCAAGTTCTATCTCTGTACAAGTTTCAAGTTGATATTCGAACATGAGTTTTCCTAGTGTTCATAAGCGGCACCAAAGTATTCATTTAAAAGATACTGTAAAAGTGCAGTATCTTCGTTGGGATCTACATGATGCGCATAGTTCCGGTTCAAAAACAATCTATCAGTTGGAACAGTTCTATTGTAAATGTATTGTTGTCTAAAGCTTTATTTACCACTTCTCACTCTCTTTTTATGCATATGTTTATAACTGAAAGTCAGATGTAGGACGCCTTTCAAATGATTACAGTTAAATATACAGTTTCGATGTGCACAGTTTAACCCCCAAGAAAAGCAAACAATATGACCCTCTCACTTTTATGATATCTGCATTTATGGATGCAAGTCGAAGATATTAGCACTATTTCTTAGATAGATGAAAAATATTTAACGGGTTTATTTTTACCTATTTTTTCGTAGACACTCATCGAGATTAAAATCGTAACTATAAAGTCTTCGTGCAGATTCGCATTTAAGGGCTGAGTTTTCGACCTATGGGCTTTCGAATCACGTATACATGGTCAGCGTCGAAAACTTTTCGTCAGCCAGCTATGATTATGGCTTCATGAGTTGTCTTTTAATAGCAAGGCAATGGAAATATGATGGCAATATTTTTATGACAAATATTTTGGCCGTCTTGATCTCAAATCAGTAAAGTAATAAGAACTGTTTATGAACATTAGCGTCAAATTTTGTTAAACAAAAATAGTCTCTTGATTGGTTTCGGATCGATTCAAATATAGGCACAGCACAGGTCTATATTATTTAGCGACGTGACAAGCATTCTTTCTGTAACTCACTACAAGAAAGTTAATCAATAAATACCTATCGACCATATCAACCTAACATATGGACGGGGAGCGTTTATTATAAATTGTGGTTTCCTGAATCCATCCTTAAAAAAAAACACTTACATCGTGTATCATTAAACAATTACGAGCAATTCTAATGACCAAATAGGGATTTCAAATTAAGAATTTGTTAATATAATATATATACTGGGCACACTATAATTCAATATGATCCTTGTGTTGACATCATACTGTGCCCGCGCTTTGTTTGACGATTAAACATTTTAAAGTATACAGTTAGCTCAGATTGATTAATAGCAGTAAACCCAGGTTGAACAAACGCGCTGCTAAACGATCGTAAATCATCATATTTTGGCATTTTACATGGCTGCATATTACGACCATATTTCACTATGTTATATATGCGGAAATGTGATCCTTTACGGCAAAATTGAGCGTGAGCGAAAAGAAGAACTACACACACACACACACACCGAAAAATGCTTTTTTTCTACGGAAAATACACTTACTCGGCATATGTGTGAAATGTAAATTCGAAGATGCAATCTATACAAGCTCTGCAATTCGTGAAGAGCCGCTTCAAAATACAAGTCTCTAGACTTTTCTATAACTCAGTTCCTTGAAATATAGCATCTTTCATAGAGGTGTTAACTAATAAGGCTTGCCAGCAATAAAATTTTAAAAGAAAATTACGTCGATTCTGAAGACAGACAAAATTTTTGATGAGTGGTTCACAGTCACTTTCGATTGAGTAAAGATCATGATAGAACACTTCGTCGCTTTCAAAAAGTTAGGTAAAGATTAAGGTTGAGTTTGCGCTGAAAGCGCATGATCTTTAGTCATGATGCACCGCCGCGACTAATCTGAAAAAAAATTTTGTTCACTACTACCAACAAATTTATCAACTAATAAGTCTAAGCGTATTGATTTTGCTTCTAAGATTTGGTAAAAATAAAATTTTATCGGTAAACATATTTCTGATTTTCTGTATCTGAAATGAATATAATACTAGTGATCTACTATTTAAACAGACCATTCACATTGAATTTAATCTAATTTTTGTAAAACTCACATATGTTTCTGCAGAACATAGTGAGTGTAAGTTTTAAGCCGAACTTTTGAGGCTTCTCCTTCTTATTACAGAAATTTTCCCACACGCGGATATCTCACCATTACAGATCTTAGCAAAAGCTAACAATGAGCTTTAGATTTCTTTTCTAGAGTTCCTTAGCCAGTGGAAAAAAGAAGCTAAACGGCATCAACGACAATACTTCGACTGCTCTAAAACATTCCAAAGCTTTCCTCGAAATATAAACTGTTAGAATACATTTGTCTATCTTCTCACTAGTGCAGTTTTTGATTTTTGTGCAGACAATAATTAACAAATAACGAGGAAATACATTCAACTGATAACTTTCTATTAAAGTTTCTTATACCATTCACTGAGAGAGCTTCTAGTGTCAATAATACTCATAAAAGAGTTCATACCATTTTCAATCTATTTCAGAAAAACAAATGTGACAAGTTTCTAGAGAAATGATACCTTTAAATCTTTTCTGTTACTTTTGTTCTTTCCATATGTCAGTAAAGGAACATTTTTTGAACGGGATTTTATTTTAATAAGCTAGCATTACATATGCTTACGTGCTTTACATTGATTACTCATAGTAGAATAGATATTGTGCCGATGAAAAAGAGAAGCGTTTCTGATTAAATTGTTTTATTATTGCAAATAATATTTTTGTACATGTCTGAATAGGATATTAGTAAAATATGCAATGAGTCACTCTGATCGTCGATTTAGCTGGGATTTAGACCAATTGATAGGACTTGATATTCTTAGTCTAGTGGACTTCATTCTGAAAAAAATGTCAAGAAACTAATGAGAATAAATATATGAAAACATCATCAGCAATAATCGAACAGCTTAACCAGAAAAGTTTTTCTTCTTCTTTTGGACAATATCTATTCTACTATGAATAATCTATGTAAAACACGTAGCATATATAATGTGATTTTACTAAAAATATTCGAGCCCAAAAAACACATTCCTTTATTGACATATTAAAAAAGCACAAAATATCTGGATGTGTCATTTTCTCTGGAAACTTGTCACGTTTGTTTCTCCAAAATAAAGTGGCAATGGCACGCTCACTTAGGATTTTTATTCGCACTGTAAGTTCTATCCATAAATGATATATGAATTTGAAAGAAGGTTATAAGTTTGATGGGTTTCCTCGTAAGATGTAAAGAATAATGAGTAGCGATGCATTGATTTGCCACAATCGTAATATGATCATTATAAAAAGAATGAATTAATCAAGTTGTCAATTCGATAAAATCTAAAAGCAATGTTTGTTAATTTATCGAGATGTATAATAGTCCGTTGACACCTGCTGTATATATAATGAACAGGTTTAACAAACTTATTTGCCAGTTCAATTAATGGTTAAAAACAATAATAAAATCAAATTAAAAAAAGAAAACTGCGAAGAGTGTGGATCAGCTGTTCACTCGTTCCGAACCCACACTCACATCCACATCCCTCATCCCGATTGATAATAATTTTTTTAATCGATTTTAATCTGATTTTACCCCTAATTTTTTTACATGGGTAAGAGTATAATTTGTTCAAAGATGTTCTTATTTATGTAGAAATGAAGATAACCACCACAAAAAGTAAAAAGTTGAAAAAAGGCATTAAAATGATGAAACGGACAAAGAAATCGATATACTTTAGATTCATCGATTTCATTGCACGGTTTTTGGTTAAAAATTATATTCACTGGATTTGCTTAATTAAATTGTCGCTTTTCAACAATGAATTTGAGAAGCATCAATTTCTTTGTCGGTTCATCATAAAAAATGCCAATTTATTTCGTGTTTTTGATTTTTTGACTCCATGAAACTTTATTTTACTAAATAGTCTTGAATTTTGAGACTACTTAAGGATGGCAAGTGTGAGTGTGTGTTAGTGGGATGGGTATAGCTATGAATCTTGTCTTCATACTCACACACCATTCACACCCGAAACTTATGTCATTTTTGGAATAACTTCGAGAGAGAAAAACAAATCAAAGTGCAATCGTCAGCTTTTTGACGCGTGTACATATATTTTTGCCTTTTCTTTTCGCTATCGCTCTCTGTGTTCCTTCGACACTATTTACTATGTGACTACGCATGTTTTGTGTCGACAAATATTCGTGACATATTACTTCTTTTTTATTTAATCAGTTCTGTTTCGTCCTCTTTTTTTTTTACTTCCAGAAATTGTAATAAGATGGTTGACTTATTATTTCGACAAAATACGGTCCATCGACGAAAAACTGCTAGTGATAATACCGATTATCTACAAGTTATCGGAGTTGGATTACCACGTACAGGTACGTCTTCACTCAAGGCTGCTCTCGAGATACTTGGCTTTGGTCCATGCCATCATATGACCGAATTATTACATAAGCCCGAACAACGTAAAATATTTGCACAAATATTGGATGGTTATGAGGCAGATTTTCGTGAATTGCTCAAGGGATACCGATCATCTGTGGATGTTCCGACAGTTTTATTTTACAAAGAACTTCATCAACTTTATCCTAAAGCAAAACTCATACTTACAGTACGTGATAGCAATGAGCAATGGTTCCAATGTTTCAAAAATTCGATTTCACCTGTGTGGTTGGATAATTTATTCTTTATCACCATTTATCCTCTTCGAAACTTGCGCTGGCTATGCATCGTCGCTAGAAAAATCGCTAAAAAATGGATAACTGAATACGGCAGAATAGGACCTCATATTCATGAATTACATAACGCTCGAATAATAAAAGAAAACAAACCAGATGAATTACTCGTATTCAATGTGAAAGAAGGATGGCTTCCTCTATGCCAATTTCTGAACGTACCGATTCCGCTAGAGATTCCATTTCCAAATACGAACAATCCTAAGTATGTTCAGAGCAGGCTTCAAAGAGCTAGGATAATAGGATGCTGTGCTTGGATCCTCATTGTTTCAGGACTAGCTATTTTAATTTATTTCTTTATTTCAATAATTGGTTTGTAGGAGTTTGATAGTTATCGCCATACTTTTCAAAATAAAAATATTGGGAGCGAAGAGCTCATAATCAAATATAAGAATGAAGTGAAGTATCTGTTAGTAAAACAATAAAAATAACAACTACCGAAACTTATAGATCACAGATACTGATAATTTTCAAAACCAGTCGAGAATACGAAAAATCAATGGTTAGTGTATATCATGAGGTACGTCACATTTATATGTTGCAAGCTGTTACGGCTCAGTGTTTCTATTTGAGCATCTGTCTAATTTATTTCCGAATGTTACGGCTTAGCAGCCAGTCTCCTTACGATACGAGCGATCCGACTGATTCAATAAAAAAACAAACACGTTGTGCCTGTGCTTCATCTAGGAATTCTACATTTCGACGCGATGCGGTCAAATACAAGAGAATCTGAGATGCTTCCTTTTCCTTGAAATCATGAACAATTGATTGAAAAAGTATGGATATGAATGTGGATGTGGGAGTATGGGTCGGTTCTGGTTGATAAAGACGCAGAAACCTACACTGTTAGGAAGGCCACCCAGGTGGAAACCACCCACGCACTTTTTCCTATGTCATCTTAGATCTAAATGTTATTTTTTTGCTTTTACAGAAGAAATGTTCAGCGATTTAATGCATATCCGATACGTTCTCGTCTACCAGAAACTGCATAGGACAACGTATGTACTACCTTCCTCAAAGTGTTAGTTGCAGATAAAAGACTACTATATGAATAATGATTTTCTTTCAGTATACATCCAGAAAATTTAGGGGTGTGGGTGTGGGTAAATGTTGATGGAAGTGGGAATATTTTCTTCTACCGCACTCGAACCCACGCCTAGACCCTATGTCTGTCAGTGCCTGTGAGTTCATAAGCAAGAGTGACACATAGTTCACTTAGTTTTGTGAAATGAGCAACCAGTTAAGAAAGAAAATAATCATCTTCATCATAACAGATGTAATCTGATAAGTGAGACAATGCACTTGTAGTGGTTTGATTTCATGAATAAACAAGATGGGCTTGATGCCATCCAAGAGACTTTGCAGAGAATTCAAATAACGGGGCGACAGTGCTGAACTAGTTTTGCACGACAAGGCTAATACGGCTTCGAGCAAACATCGTTACAACTACCATTGAATAAATGAGCATAACTAGCATTATCCTGAAAATGACAATAATAAATATTCATCAGTTGAAAAAAGAATAACTCAAATGAAATCTAATTTTTAGTTAAATAAATGCGAAAACATGTTTTGAATATATTTGCTGTGGATGTAGATTAATGGAAGTCCAAGACACATGTCCACACCCATGAAAGAAATTCTTTTCGATAATTTCTTACGAATAATAAATTGGCGAATGATCTTGTTCAATATTCGGTCTATTTCAATATTGATTATAAATTGTTCTTACTTGCTAGATAATTTAAATTACGTATAATTCAATCAAATTTAAAATTTATTTTTTTACATCAAATTCTTCTTTTTCATACGATTGAATAATATCAATCAAAAAATTCAATCGAATCAAACAAATGGCATATAGAAATTTTCATAACGTAAAAGTAATTTTAGTGCATTAGAAGAATAATGTGATGATGAATGAAATTATACGATGAAGATTTTTATCTAGTATTTGATATACAGCAACAACACAAAGGTTGTTCAAACTTGTGGGCTTTTTCGTTTCGTGTCATAATTGAGTAGTTAGTGTTATTTCTAATGATCGAAAATTCGTTTTTTGTATTCTAACGTAATTGACAATAACAAGACGAATTTGAAGTCATTAATGTCTTTCAAAAAGAGAAACATTAGATCAGATAAATAATCCAGTTTATTCAGCTAAAATACTCCTTGTCTGATAGATTACATGAGAACTAGGACGAGCAAATATAATAAAAGTACATGTGCTAATTTCATGAAAAGTACAATGAACAAGATTAGTCAATTCGAAGACTTATCCAGTGACTTATTTTTGGATATTTCTGATTACTTGTATGATTTAGATCTTTTCGTGACATTTTCACTCAATAAACGTATTACATTGATTCTGTCGAAAACTCAACTTCGTATTGTTATCTCAAAACTTGATTGTCGTCATCAAATTAAATTTCTCTCTTCTCATCTCACTGATCATGCTCATCAAGTCATATCTCTTTCACTTGAAGATCAACTTGGTAATTTTTCATCAGTTATTCCTTTCATTTTCACTCAGCATAACTTTATCAATCTTCGATCATGCAGATATTTCGGTACTTGTTTATCATTCATTTTACATACTACACAACCACGTAGTGTATCATTATCTGACAAAGTCAAACGAAAGTTAGGTAACACTATTTTAAAGCACAAATTATCAGACCTTCGCTCAGTTACACATTTCCCTATGATTATTCGGACCTAACTGCTAAAATTACTGTTAAATGGACGTTGACATCACTTCGTATAATGTTTCATGGTTCATCTAGTATTTGCACGATTTATGGTGCTCTGCTCATTCCCCGTACTTATCGTGTGTTGCGATAGTTACGTATACTCATTTCAAACGGCAAAAAATCAAATACACATTATCAAATGTAAGTTAGTAAAATAGAAGAGAAACAGACGGACTGAGTCATCAGCCGAATTGGCATAAACAAGCGTCGAGTATTGACTCCGTAGGTCTAGTATTGCTCTCAATTTCAATCATAATAGGGTATGTAGTTGATGAGAGATATCTCAAAGAAATAATAAAGTTATTTTTCTGTATGACTGTATAATTTAATTTTATTGCTTTTATTCTTGAAATTGTTTTTTGCTGGTGATTGTCAGTTGTAATGAGCCAGATACATGAGATTATCGATATTTTTAATATAATTTGATGAAAATACTCACTAATCAGCTATTAAACAGTATAAACTATTCAGAAATGTATTTCATCATTGAAAACTCTTTGTTGAATAAATTCGATGTAGATAATTATTTTGTTGGACTTTTTTTTGCATCCTATCAAATAGTTTTCTTAGCGAGATAAATGATCCTTCTCTTTATATTCACAAAAGCTATATTTTCTTTAGTGCATCCATATATCCATTTACTGTTGACGACAATCTATCGGTATCACCGTATATGACATTATTCGATTTGGATATTAAGACAAAGTGCAATTTTGATTCATTAAATCTATTTCTATCTTGTATGCCTAATCTTCTTCAATTTATTATTACAATCATGACTGCACGGTGAATTTCACACTTTTGGAGACATTTGTTAGATCGTCAACATTGGGAACAATTGTTAACTAATCACGTACCCCACATAGATGTATTTTATCTTTTTATGGTCTTGTTAATTGACCGAAATACTTCAATACTAGATATGGACACTATAGTCCATTTATAGGCTTATTTTGTAACAAAATATGATCATTGGCATGTAGCAATCAACCAATCAAACGACAATATCCATCATCGATGAAAGATAATCATATTGATTCGTTTTAAAAATATTAATTTATGTGTACATTGTTTAGCGAAAATAGTCAATTCACATGTGTCAACATATTCAAAAAAACCACGATGTAGACAAAGTTTTCATTTATCAATGGTTCATGGTACATTCGACATGCATTCAACAGATACACAGCAACATCCCCTTTATTCTCATATCACCGGTCTGTGAATTGACGTACTACTAAATACAACACTGTCTAATAATCTACCTGCTTCTTCACGATATCAAAATATTGATTTTCTCTTGGTTTGAAGTGAACATTCGAGAACGGGTTTAGGGGATATCGTGATGAAACTAAGTAAATAGAAATTATTAATAATTGATAATTGGACATTATTTTATTATTCTTTTTTGCTTGTTTGGTTATATCGTCGAAAAACGTCGTCAAGCTTTTCCGTTTCACATTTGCAAGAAAGATGAAATTTCTGTCAAAGTCGATAAACAATTCTTAGAAATTTATCTTAACGGTTGTTCAATATGTGTAAAGAAGAAATATTACATTTGAATAAATAGTCTACAACTAAATTGTGTGTTTATATTTGTCGAACATGAATATAATATAATGAAAAACAAAATATGATTTCACTTTCTAGATTGATCATAATTTCCTATTTTTACTGATTAATATGTAATTTTGAAATCAGCAATTCATCTGTATAATGCACAGAAAGATATACAAATTTGTCTAAGAATCTGAATAATTTGTATCATTGAATAAATCTGTGTTCTTCTTGTTAATATGCCAATGTTTCTATCAAGTTATTCTTCCTTGTACATCTATTATCTTAGTCGATTCATTGTTATAATTAGCTCTTCTTTACCTGTATCACCTTTCAGAGCAAATTTGTTTAACGGTCATGAATGGCAACAATTAGTAATACGACATGCACCAATCATTTGAAAATGTTGCTATAAAACATGATAATTCGCATACGATAATCGATCAATCATGACATAGTCTCAGTCGTCGAAATCAGATAAAGCGATTATCGATTTCTTGGAAAAAAGCAATTTTTGTGGATGCTGTTTCGATGAACTTGCTTCTAACAGTAAGAACGTCTATATTGAAGTGCCAGTTAATTTAAAAACTATTGATATTCTACCCTCTTTTCTATATTGAAAAATATCGATGGTCTTATACTTCATATTGATCCAAAAAAAACCATGCTGATGATTTGACTAATTAAAGTGATCCGAATATCTAAGACATTCTATTTTTTATTTCACATCTGATGTAACTCAACATGGATAATTCATTGATTTTTTCTCCAACATTTTATGAGAATCCATTTCTCGTTTCTGTTTTTAATCGTCTGCAATCACTGCATTTAACAGCAAAATATATTTCACATCTAGTTCAATGATTTCTATCACTTGGCCGTATTAAAGGAGGGGGCAGATCAGACGTCAAATTGGCCCATCAGTACTTTTCTTGGCCAACCCCATTGGATCATATATCAACGGAAAGAGCATGTTAATACTAACACTTTGGCACTAGTTTCATGAGATTTTGAAAGCTAAAAGTTATCCACAAAGCAATTCATTTTTCGTCATTTTTTTAACAATCGGTTCTATCACGGTGGAATTTAATTTCAGTATTATTAGATAAGACAATATAGCATTGAAATTATGAATTTGATAGATCTGTGATGGGGCTTCAATCTCATATATAAATCACTAATTGATTGCTTAATTTAATGAGATATAGGTTTGATGTACTGGTAGACACTATTATCATATCTCCTATGATTATCATCCATACTTATCTTTCACCAAATATTTTAGTTTAAAGATTGAAATGACAAAAAATCTGGTATGACTCATTTGATAGCCCTTTTAAAAAGCTACAAAATCATATATTTTCCAAAGTCAAAAAAATATGGCCACTTGAGGAATTCCTAACCATACTGCTATTCAGGTGCAGTTTTGCGTATTTTTAACAAATGTTTAGAAGATTTCTGCTCGGAAAAGTTCAATGTAAATCAAAACTAATATGATATTCGAAATCAGCATAAAATTTTGAGTTGATCTAGGGTGTGGGTGTGGGTGTGTGGCTGCATTATGGTTAATGCACTGCAGCGTGATTTATCGTGACTGACCATTTTCAAGTTCTAAGTATATCGAATAAATTAAAGATTTTTCAAATCGTATGGATTTTGTTTGGTTTTCTTGTTGTCATAAACGAGTTATCAAGCTTGGAGTTACGCTACTACGTAAATGAAAAAATGACTTAATAATTCTCATCACCAAGAGTTACCATGATTGGGAGATCGCGATAGGATTCTTTTTCCACGCTACACAATACCTTTCTATTAATGAATCACTTTGTAATAGTCGGAAAACAGAACTATATCCGTATGATTGAAAAAACTATAAATCTAAGATTATACTTAAAATCCCAAAATGGTCAGTAATGATAATTCACCATGCAAAACACTAATTATGGTGATGAGAAGAATTAAATTCGCGCCAAAACTCATCCCACATCCACATTTATATTTGAACTCGGATCAGACAGCGTGATCCGTTGAGTTGGGTTTTCTTCGGCAAGTAAGTTACATAATTGTGTCACTGTAAATACAATGATTTATTATGTCGCTTTTGTGGCACACGTAGGAAAGAAAGTAAAAAATATGCTCCTTGTTGCTACCACATGACTGCAATAGAACGGAAAAAAGAGAACACAGTCACGAGTTTGTTGTGTATACATTACGAGTGTTCTGTTTTACAATCATTCATTCCTTTTACGTGTTCGCTTAACATAGACTAAAAATGTCACTTCCTGTCAGACGCAATTTTAAACGAGATCTAGTCGTTTGGCTTGATAGCAATATTGATACATCAAAAGATTATGCTAACACTTGTCGTAATCTTCAAACAATCGTGAACTCGGTCAAAACATTTTCTGATCCGAATGCTTGTATCGATTACTTATGGAGTATAAATTCTAGTGATGATCTTGTATTTTTTATTGTGTCAGACTCTTTTGGCAAAGATGTTATTCCATTGGTTCATCTCATGCCACAATTGCATCGTGTTTATATTTATGCTTCGAATCGATCAAAACATGCATGGTGGAAGAATCAATACGATAAAGTCGAATGTAACGTATTTGACAGCATGCAATCGATGTACGAACAATTGAAAAAAGACAAGAAGAAATACAATAATGAGTTTGTAGCGATTTCTTTTATCTCAAAGTCGGAGATTCGAGCCGGAAATCGTCAAGATCCATCATTTATGTATAATCAGTTACTCAAAGATATTATATTAAATGATGATAAGAATGATTCGGAAGAAGCTGCACGAAAGCAAATGTTACATTTGTGTCGTCAATATTATAAGAATAATAAGAATGAACTTCAAATAATCGACGAATTTGAACGTGACTTTTTTCCCGAACATTCTTTTTATTGGTATACACGCGACTGTTTTCTGTACAAAATATTAAACAAAGCTTTATGGACTCCAGAACCGGCAATACTCTACAAGTTCCGTTATTTTATTCGTAATCTTCATCAGCAAATACTAGTCACGGCTGACACACAATCGAAATCGGGAAAAACCTTTAAAGTTTTTCGCGGTCAAGGTATGATGACAAGTGAATTTAATAAATTAAGAAATGGAATTGGTGGCCTTCTTTCATTCAATAATTTTCTTTCAACAAGTCTCGATCGTAGTGTTGCTCTTGGATTTGCGGAACCGTCGAAGTATCTATTAGATGAAACATCTATCCTTTTTTCGATGAATATTGTTTCGGGAAATCGTAAATGTCCATTTATTGTCGTTGGGAATTTGGGTTTCTATCAAAATCTTGAACAGGAAGTCTTGTTTTCGATGGGAACTGTTTTTCGTATTGATGCCGCTGAAAAAATGGAAAACAATCAATGGGAAGTTCAGTTGACTTTGACCGAGGATACTGATGATAATCTTGCCCATTATACGATAAAACTGCGCAAAATAACGCGCAGTTCTCATCCATTGATTAGTTTAGTTAAACTCATGGATGAAATGGGCCAATACAAAATGATCGACGTATTCGCCGATATTTTCGCTGACGATGATTCGATTCATCAGCGTTCTGTCCAAACTGCTGCAATGCAACATACACTTGGTACCGCCTATTTATCTGCCGGTAATCAAATTAAAGCTTTGGAGTTTTTAGAAAATTCCCTCACGACTTTGTTGGAATATCTACCAAATGATCATCCTAGCCTTTCACCTACATATAACAATATCGGTAGTGTTTATCATGCTAAAAAAGAGTTTACCAAAGCACTAGATTATCATCAGAAAGCACTCCACTGTCAATTACATGCATCTGACCCGAATTTGGAGTGGATTGTGACTTATTCGATGAATATTGCTACAATTCATCAAGGTTTAGAACAATATAATGAAGCATTAGTACATCTAAACCACGCTTTAGAATTACAAAAACAATATCTCGGTGATGATGATTCAGCTCTATCGACCACCTACGATGCAATCGCACGTATATGTTACGAAAAAGAAGAATTTGAGACAGCAGGTATGTCATATATGAAAAGGAGAAAGACTTATTCGGCTGACAATATTTTATCACTAAGATTCAGCAGAAGGTGTTTCGTGAATGGCAAATTTCTCCTATTTCTTTCAATAATTAGTAATGCTAAACCTAAAACTTGAATTCAAAATGACAATTATTCTTCAAGTTTCAAGTTTCAATTTTTGCTCAATTGATTAAAACGTAAAGTATGGCGGAGCAACTTTCATTTAATATAAAAACAGTAATTATATTGACAAGGGTTCGTGACAGAGTCATAGAGGCAGTATATTCGAAGTGTCTGTCAAAGTCCGCACTGAGACTCAAAACATCGTACTGTGAGAAGGAAAATCGGAATTTTCAGGGGTTCGAAGTTTCAAAACTTTGAAAAATGAAAAAAAAATTAGATCGCAACAAAAACAATAATATAAATCTTAATTTTTGGGACTTCAAACTCCAAAGTAGTACACTGAGATGTTTGCTAGATTGTGGGGAAGATTATGGAGACAGCTCACGTTTCTTCCTACATACTTCAATAATCATCAACAATCATGTTTTATGAAGAAATAGCATAGGTTTATTTGCGGCAAAAGAAACCTCGGATTCAGTTCTCATGTTCAACGCGCATAGTGCTTCCATGTTGCTCACTACATCGATGAAAAGCATATTTAATACTTCGATTCGACTTTGAACCGTGGAAATTAGAACGTATTTGCACGAAGTAGTGTTGCTGTGAAGTACTTTTTCTAAAACCAACATTCACTAAAATTATTCAAGTAGCTAAGAAATATGAAAATCTCAAATAAAGAAAAACAACATCTTTTCAGCATTGTACAACAAACAAGCACAAGAAATTAAACAGAATACGACACATCCAGATCTCAATTCCTTGGTACAATCTTCGCTATCGGCTGGACAGATGTGGCTTTCACAAGATCACTATAGTAAAGCTATCGATCATTTCCAATGCGCATTAGATACTCAAAAGAAGTTTTTATTATCCAATCATCCATCAATTGCATCAACCTACAATCATCTGGCTCGCGCCTACTATAAACAGCAGAAATTTGCAGAGTCGATCCCATACTATCAAAAAGCACTAGAAATCGAGCAAAGTTCTTTAGTAGATGATCATCCAGCAATCGCTCTTAGCCATTTCAACATGTCGACTGCTTATGTAAGCATGCCTAAATATAAAGAAGCACTAGAATGTGCACAAAAAGCAGTTGAACAACTCCAAAAACGGCCTAATCCTGACCTGACATCCCTCGGACGATACATTCGTCAGATAGGACATGTATTTCAACAGCAAGGTAAACATGTGGAAGCGATTCGCCATTATGAAGAAAGTTTGGCTGTAACTCGTACGGACACAGATGATGACAATGAGTCAGTAGCAATTGTCTACAATAATATAGGTGATGCTTATTTGCAAATGAATAAATTTGCTGAAGCATTATCTTACTACGAAAAGACATTAGAAATTGAATTACGTACTTTGCCGGACAATGCTCCGACAATTGCTGCGACGTATGCAAATATGTCACTTGCAAATCTCAAAATATCCAAATACAACGAGGCATTAAGATGTGCTCATGATGCAGTTAATCAACTTCGAAAACGGTCAAAACCTGATCCAATGAAGCTTAGTCAATATCTTTGTCAAGTCGGGCATGTTCTTCGAAAGCAAGAAAAATACTCCGAAGCTATTCGCTATTACAATGAATGTCTGACCACCATTGTTACTGTTATTGGGAATGATGATGAATCATTAGCAAACACTTATTATCGCATAGCTGATTGTTATTGTGAATTAAAGAAATTTGCTGAAGCTTTACCTTTCTATGAGAAAACATTAACAATCGAACAGAAATATTTAGAAGACGATCACCCAACGATCGCTGTGACGCATTTCAAAATGTCAACTATCTATGCAAATATGTCGAAGTATAATGAGGCATTAAAATGTGCACAGGATGCAGTTAAACAACTTCAAAAACGATCCAGTTCCGATCCAGCAGAACTTGGTCAATATCTTTATTATCTGGGGAATATTCTTCTGAAACAAGGTCAACATTCGGAAGCGGTTCGTTATTTTGAAGAAGGTCTGACTAAAATTCTTATGGTTAAGAGTAAAGATGACGAATCATCAGCAGTTACCTACTTTAATATAGGTGGTGCTTACTGTCAACTGAATAAATTTACTGAGGCATTATCGTACTTTCAGAAGACACTAGAAATCGAATTGCGTACTTTGCCAAACAATACTCCGACGATTGCTTCGACATATGTAGGCATGGCTACGGTATTAGTTGGTCTTAAACAATTTGATGAAGCCATGAAAGCTTGTCAGAAAGGAATAGATCAGCTCTTAAAGACACTTCCATCTGATCATGAAGATGTGCAACAACAAAAGCCTTTCATGGAAATCATACGAAAAAAACAGCTGCTATTAAACATATACAAAAAGTAGCTGATCATTGTTTTTTATATTCTGTTCCATACAATTATCCTATGTTTTTTATTATACGACTATCTTTCAGTCATGTTGAATTCTTTGGTCCAAATATTAATTCTAAGAAATCCAATAAATTTTGCTATAGTTAAATACAACTGATTGATGTTCATCGATTGGCGACGAACGTTTGTTGAGACATGGTTGAATTGATGCAAAGGAGGAGAGTCGATGACTGTTGAAAATTGCCACTTCGAAAAATTTGGTTTCTTCAATGTTAAACTCTTATACAAGGTGTCCGAAAGTGAGCCCCAGCAGAGCTATTCATATAGTACTTGTGCTGGACACAAATCAATTCAAATAGTTAATAAAGATCACATGCACATTAAACCAGACTCTTGGTTACAATTGGCACTGTTCATCAACTCTCCTTTTTACAAAAAACAGCTCCTTTTTCCAATTCATTTTTTATTACCTAATACACTGTATCGAAAAAACAAAATATACCACTAGCTACAGCGGGTGTAGGTACATGTGGGTGCACGTGTGTGTGTGCCTGTGGAGTGCGAGTGTCGGTGTGGGTGGATGAGTTTGGACTGTGAGTGTGGATCTTCTCTTCATTTTTATCTGCACATCAGACATCAACAGACGCACACCACACCCTGTTGCCGTTGTCGAGATATTGCGCTTACAGCCACCCCTCTTTTATTCTGTAGCGGACATTAATATTGTGATTGCTTTACATGACCATACCAACACCCACACCCTAGACTCTGAAAGAGGTTGTAGATTTTGTTTAGGAGTGGGAAGTTCCCGTTACGTTCCCAGATAACTGGTAACTTTTCCATTACCACCCAAGCAGACAAAAGTTTTGAAAAACGCGATTAAACGCACACTCGGGAATCGCGACTGGGATCCATTCACGCTCATTAAAAAAACGCAAGAAACGACGTTTTTTGTACAAAATAGTCACTTTTCAAGCGTGAAAACGGTAGAAAACTTAAATTTCTAGTGTTAAAACGTTCTCTTTTTCTAGATTTAAAAAACGACGTGTTTAAATGCTCAGTTTTTGATATTTTTGCTGTTTTCACGCTTGAAAATTGACTATTTTGCACAAAAAACGTCATTTATTGCGTTTTTTTAATGAGCGTGAATGGATCACAATCGCGGTTCCCGATTGTGCGTTCAAACGCGTTTTTTGAAATTTTTGTCTCCTTGGGCAGTTACCCGGGAACTGGTAACGGAAAAGTTACCGTTACCGTTTCCGGGTAACGGTCTGGGAACGATAACTTCCCACCCCTAACCCACACTCACATCCTCCTCTTTGGTGTTCCTGATAATCATCAAGTAAAACACGTATCGCTTCCTGATTAAAATTAGTGCTTGCTACAAGTCTCCCGAAAACCTTAGTTTTTAAAGAACCTAATCAAATGCGACATTTTTTTGAATGATAAATGTTGGTAGCGAATTAAATTGTATACAAGATCATTGCTTGCTTGCATGACAGCTATTTTGCCTGGATACAATATGTTTTTTTCTGCGATGTACAATATCTGGTTAGGAGAGTGAAGAAAAAAATTATTCTATTCGTTCAGTCGCTTAATATACAAGACGCATGGATATATATATATATATATGAATGCTTCTTTCCTTCCTTTAACAGCTGGGCGTTAATAAGGTACTAGATAGAATAAAATTATTTTTGTCTTCGAAGTCTTCACCTCATGTAACATCCGAGAAGACAAGCACTTCTTGTATTCAAGAAAAAAAATTATCGTTAACACATGCGTGTCATTTTTTAGAGTACCCAATTTTCTACATAAATGTATCATTCAAAAAGAAATTCTGAGTTTGTTTTGCTCATTTGTGATTTTTCACGGTCGACTCTTCATACAAAATCGAAGTATAAAAGCGGTTTTATATAACATCATTGTAATTTTCTTAAAAAGTGACAATAATTCGACGTTTCGATGAACTAAGTCATCATTATGAAGGTTTATTAAGATTTTGGAAAAAAATTGTACATTAAACGAGAAGTAGCACAATAAAAGGCTGATAACGAGAGAGATAAGAAAATAAGAACAGAAACAAAAGGAAAAAAGGTACAATGATAAACAACCCTTTAGCTTTCCTTCATCACTAGTGTTGGGTAGCGGGACTCTCGGTAGACCATCACGAAAAACAAGCAATGGTACCGAATGTGTTGTTTCCTTGAGTTCTAGTAAATAAGCATTGATCAACAATTATTCTTTAATGAGCAAGTGATAATAATGATTGTCTGGCCATATTACTCCCGGATGTTGGTGGGTGGGTGTCGGTGTCGATGTGGGAGTGGGAGTGGGCTTGTTTTTTATTCGTAAATAACACCCACATCCACCCAAGTTGTACTATATAGTTAAATTATTTTATTGTATTATATAGTTAAGCCATCTTATTGTATTTTATTATAATATTATCTGGTGTTATTTATATATTATATTTATAAAATTTTCATTAAATAAATAGTATATTATAAACAGGAAGAGAACTTTCTTTTTATTTAAAATGTTATTGTTTATATCGATACATAATTGGTATGTCTTGGTCCGGCGGTGCAACACCAACTCCCACACGATCCGGATTTTGTTTGGGAATCGTTTTTACATCAGTCAATTTATAGTCAATATATCGAAGAATCATGGCGACGCAAATTTTGATTTCATACCTGATGAAGAATCGCCCAGGGCATATGTTCTTACCCATACCAAAAGGCATGAAACCAAGCACAGTATCCGCATTTTTCTGAGTGAATCGATCAAAAATGAAGTCGTCTGGATCAGGAAATAGATCAGGATCGCGATGTGCTACGGCAGAAAATAAGGCTACTGCGTCATTTCTTTCCAGACTTAGGACGCGTCCGTCCTTTAAAATGATTTCAGTGTCGTGCAAACATTTTCTCAGCACCATTGGTGCCGCAACTAGTCGCAGTGCTTCGTTCACCGCACTATCCAGATTGACGCACGAGGCAAATCTGTCAAGAGTCCATTCGTCAACCAGGAAACTGCTAGCATCGTCATCAAGCGAAAACACTGGCAAATATGTGTCGATTTCTTCTTTAATACATTTCACAGCTTTTACGTCGTATAAAATATAGAGCAAACACCAGAATACAGCCGGAATACTATTTGCCAAAGAAGCCCAAAGCATAAAGGTTTGCTTCCCACCATACTCTTGTTCCGAAAACCACTCAGGATGATCGAGTATGCTAGTCGCTCTATCTCGTATGAAGTCACTCTCGTGTGGTGGATGTTGTTTTCTTAGCCATGAATTGTTCAAACGAGAGCGGGCTTGCAATTCGCGCCGAAAAAATATTCGATAGATCCAGGAAGGAAGAAGGGCTGTAAAATAATGGATTTTATCGTCAAATAGACGAAAGTCTTGTTCGATTGAGAGCGGATCAATTTCACCAAACAACGTCAATGATGACGGTTCAAAAATCATGCGGTGACTCAATGCCAATAATCCCGTTGATGTCCATTCGGACAAAGTCTTACTATTGCTTCGTGCTGTTTTTTCGCGCATCATTAATATGCGTAAACGCTCGACAAACTCCGTAATCATGGGTTGAAGACCCTCATGGTTTTTCAAGTACTTCGTATAGTATCGATGAATTTCTCTCTCTGTTTCTGTAAAACCTGTCACGGATTAATGTATTTTTGTTATTTTATATGGGCTTAAAAATATTATGCTTACCTGTGACGTTGTAGCCCGTATCGAATACCTTTATCCCAAAATCATGTGCTTGAAAGTGAAACAATGGATTTCGAGCTATAGTTGGCCAATCTGATGGCGAGAGTACAAACGTAATTCGTTGAGTAAGCAATCGAATTCTGAAGCAGTGACCATATCGTTGACAACATTCCATCAAGAATTTTCTTCGATCCTTAAGAAACGGAAGTAGATGACCGACGAGAGGATACTTTCCATGTGTGACCAGTGGAATCGATGAACTGTTGTCGTTCCTAGAGAATAGTAGATAAACCCATACAAGAACCACGAGAACCAAAATGAAGCTGCTGAACAACATGTACATCTTTGTAGATTTCTACAATGCAAATTTGAAGAACTCTAACGAAGACTTCATAGTGACGAATCATAGGGCAATATCATGCATGAATGTTAGATAACTCGATTTTCTAAACTCAGAGCAAGACGAGTCGTGAATAGTCTCTTAATCAGAAAAGGATTGTAGTAAAGGGCTATGACGAATGGGATGTGATCTCTCGATCACTTTTGTCTAATGACATTACTGGTCGTCAAGTTTGATATGGCAAACTGCCTCTAGTTTGTCGGCAACCCTGACTTCGAAGAGCATCAGAAGAAGGAACAAATACAGACTATATTATTTCTCAATTAGCTGAACCTCAATACGTAGTAGCACAACAGCTAAGATGTGAGAGTTCAGCTCGCAAAGCATAATGTAAGTCTAGGCATTTTGAGACAAATTGAACAGAGATCACAGCGAACACAAATTAAAACGAATATTCTAACGGTCACGTCGACAAAATTCTTTGCACATCAGGCGCTTTTAGAAGTTCAAATGTCTTGTTTAATCTACCGAGAATACTCGTGTTACAGTGATTTTGGTATTTGAGATGACTTTCAATTGTGTTTTGACCATGAAGTAATTACATTAAGATGGATATGAAACACTGCAAAACAGCAATCACCAGGAAACAACGAAAGAGAGAATCATAAGAGAAAAACAACTATCAAATGAGTAGGTACTCGTCAGCTTACTACGTACAGAACAGAAAACAACCGAGAAGAAGAAATAAGCAATAGTAATGTATTTCGTTTTCGCCGCCAATCGCTTCATGCATTTGTAAATTTTCGTTCTTCATTGAATTTTGGTATTCGTCAAAGAGAGACGCCAATGATTAATGTAACAGGTAAATGTCCACAAGAGAGCGCCATACTGTAACAAGCAAGAAAGTAATGGTAATTTCATGGTATTCGAACTAATTTACGGTAGGCAAGAAAACCAACAGCACACGTGATCATTTGTAAAAAACCATCAATCTAGCAAACAATTCAGCTGTTTTTCTCACAATTTGTCACGTATTGACGTGAATACGTAAAAGCCAAATTACGATGTATTATCAATTGAGTAATACAAAAAAGGTCAAGGTCAAGAGTTTGTTTTATTGACTCGACGAACAGAAACAAATAACAAGTTAGATGAAATGAAACTAACAAGAGTCGTCGTCTTTTTAAGAAAAGACAAATATATATATATATAGTGATGACTTATTCTATGAAATCAAAGAATAGAAAGAAAACAAATGAAATATAACAACAACAATGACTATTGCCAATACATCACATTCCTCCGCTTTAAATTTTTTCAATCAATCGACGTACAGGTTTCTTGACTCGAGCTGAACGTTAGATTGTCCCTGGTCCTTGATCAGATGTAGAAGGAGAAGTTGATGAGTCTTTATCATGACCTGTTGTTGTTTTTAATGGACCTATGACGATGACATCATCATCACTTGACCATTGACGATGTTTAATTTGATCATCATAACGATGCCATATTGGTATTCCAACCTTGACAGTCCATATTCGAGGTCCTTCACGACCAATAAGCACACCAGGCACCCATTCGACTTTGTTCGAATGATTCCTAAAATCATGAACAAAAACTTTGTTACCTTGATGAAAATCATGTTCTTTTGTATGACGATCGAAGTTAGTTTGACAACGTTTTCAATTTGTACTTGATGCATCAGTTGCATCGGAACGTGATAAATCTAATACGGTTTGACGTTGCCGTTTTAAGAACAATTCAGTTGGATTTGTACTAATTGCTGGATGAGGAGTTGTTCTGGAACAGCATAAACATTTAGAAAGAACATTAGAAATATTTTGTCTATTATGAAGTCCCTTTGTAAGAACAGATTTTTCAAAATAAACATTACGTTCAGTTTGATCAATTGATTGAGGATGTTCAGGTGTTGTTCGAATATATTTAATTTCAGAATTAACATTAGAAATCGTATTATTTGAAAACATATCATTTAATTTAATTCTATTTAAATGTAAAGAATTAATCCAATTATGACCAACAATATTATTTCGATTTCTACCACCAACTAAAATTTTTAATCGAGAACTTTGCCCATTGTAAATCATCTTCACCATTTTCTCTCCCTTCAGATGAATAGAATGACCTGTAAAACTACTATAAATTGATTTAACAGGTGTTAATTTTGGTTTTCCCATCTTCTTCCGTATATGTTCATTGATAATCGTGATAGGAGAACCCGTATCTAATTCAAATGTAACATATAAACCATCAATTTGGATAGGAATTTGAATTGGATCTTCATCTATATTTGGTTGATATTTTACAGGACATACAGTATTAATCTTAACGTTATTTGAAGTTGTTTGTGAACGACAAACTTTAACAATGACCTTCTTTGTTACACTTGTGGCAGGTAACATGACGAAAACAACATTTTGAACGAGGATGATTCGTAGACCCACAACTTGAACAAAAACGTTTGTGATGAACATTCATAGTGTTTATCATTTTGTTGAATTTCCATAATATATGAATCTTCTGATAAATTATCTTTAACATTAGCAGCCTGAATAAGAACTGATTCAAATATTCGTGCTGTATTAAGTGTTTGTTCAAATGTTTCCAAACTTTGCTGCATTAAATGTTTTCGAACATGTTCATTTCTTAAACCACCGACGAATGCTACAATTAAAGCATCTTCGCAAAAATCATTTGGAAACTTATATGTTACTGATTTATCTCGAAGAGAATTTGAGAAATCAGTAACAGTTTGTGATGATTCTTGACGCGTTGCAAAAAATGTAACACGTGCATAATTTGTACGAAGTTTTTTAATTATTTCCGAATAAGTGCATTCAGTAGGTTTCTTTGGTTTACAAACAGAAATAGGTGTTTTGAAGGGTTGAACACCAAGAGCTGTAATAAGCGAGTTTCATTTCTTGTTATCATCTGTAATACCTTCGACATCGATATAAGTATCGAACAAAATTTCCCAATCATTTCAATCATAAGATGTTGGATCGAATTCATGAAGACGATATGTGTTTAAACGTGAAGTTTGTTCAATCGGGCGTGGGTGTGAGTGTGGGTGTGGGTGTGGATGTCGATGTGGATGTAGGTGTGTGAGTGTGGGTGTGTGAGTGTGGATGTGGATGTGGGTGGGGTTGATTCTCTCATCCTAATGCGCATCCACACCCATACGCACACCACACCCACACCAACTGACGTCATTTAATTGTCGTTCGGCCGCACGACTAGGCAGCTTAAGTGTTGGGGTCGGTACGACTTGATCTTGAGCATGGGGGTGTGGGTGTGAGTAGGAGATTAGAATCTCTGCACTCCACCTAGACGCTCAACGTTTATAAAGTCTTAATCCTGAAAATCGAGATTAATTATAAGAAAACTTTCGATTAAAAATAATCAGAGTTATTGTAATTTCAATATTGAAAGATACGTTTTCAGTATTACAAGAAAACAAATTTGATTGGTATTCTCCAAAGTTATGAATGTTTTTGTCGACTGTCAAACATTTCTTCAAATCAACAAGTCATTGTCTTTTCTTGGTTCAAAACCTTTCTATATTAAGAGAAAACACTTCGTCAGCAGCGACGTATATCTATTCAAATATCGAGGATCTCTGGAAGTCACTGCAATCTTCATCAGTGAATCCGAAGTTCAATCTGTTGTTTTGTTTGTTGCAAGCGCAGGAATTCACCGGTTTCTCTTTTTTTGATTAATGATTAAAAAGATCGTCATGTTTGATTCTTGACATGATCTTTATGATAGATGAGAGCAACTAAAAGACAATATACCACGAGTTTATATGATTCAGAAATCTGTACTTCTTATGATTCAACCATCAAAGGATGCAAGAAGGTGGTATTGCCAAGGATGAGGCTTGCAGAGGCACGTGTGACATTGAAGAGAAAGATGAACTCAATCCATTCCACTAATCTACTGATAAGAATAGTACAACTGACGGAATGAATCATCTTAAGAATTTCGTTATTGGAGTTCCGAAAAGATTACCATAGTTCAACACAAACAATCGTGGAGTAAGAATGAGGAGAGAAAATCCAACAATAGTACTTCTTTCAGTTAATCGAATGCTTCGTTCAAGACATGTGAATAGCAGTTTCGCGTTGCTGAGAAAAACAATATTATTAGTAAAATCTAAAAGAAAAGCATATCTCAATCATATTCAACACGCCAATATTCAGTGGAACAAAACGATCTAATGAATGATCCACACAATTAAGAGTCGAGAATGGATGAGTACCAGTGGTGTGCCCATTCGTTCCATAATGTTATCATTAAAAAAAGATTTACGACTCCACCCATATTTTGTTTATTCTTGATTAATTAAAGAAACGCAAGCAATAAGCAAACTGATAGATGCAAAACGTCTGAAATTCACCAATCATATGTTTCCTCAATTGTATTATAGAGATGATCCGTTGATATTTCACTTTGAAATTCTTCTTTCCAAATGCTATCCTTTCTGTCTTTTTCTTTCTTCATTTTCTTGTCCTCAATGATTGGCCATGGAGCATGAACAACAATATAACCAACAAGTCGAAGACAATCCGCTGCATATTTCAATGGTTCTTGCATATGTGCATGCCACATGATGTCTATCTAAAAGCGTATAAATATATTCATAGAACAATATTATTCTTTTTCATGATAGAGATTTTACCGCATATGTTGGTGGTACAAAATCATTGCTATCTTTCAGTGGATATTTCGCTGCCATATATAAAAATCGTTCGTAAGACTTTTTTAAGCGTTTCATAGCCCCAGTTTCAAGATCAATATAGTTGCGTGATCTCCCATAGTAGCCACAAACAGGAACTTGTTGTCGTGAATCCTGTATAAATGTTTTACATAAATCGAGCCAACGACCATCAAGAATAATTTCGGCTTCAGAAAATGAAAAGGGATTTTCATATTGTTTTGGTGGATTCGATGAAAATTCAAAAAATGTTCGATCCCAATATGAATAAACGTCTTGTGACTGATTTATTAAATCGTCTTCATCAGATAAGTCGTCTGATGTTGGCTTCTGATCACTTTTATTTGATGGTAATTCACAATATTTTTCGCCGAATCGTTCTTCATAAAATTGACATGTTTCTCGAAATGCTTGCTCTTTGAAGAACTGTTGAATTTCTGTTGTCAGCAATGAATGATCGATGACATGACGAAATAAACGAAGACAATCAGCTCGATACATTTCTGGTCGTAGTAAATGTGTTTGCCAAACGATCTCTATATCAATAGTAGGAATAAGTAAGACATTTGGCAAATAAAGAGCTTTCAATTGCATGAATCGATAATATCTTGCTATCATTTGCTTCAATATAGCAGATTGGTACCATTTATCTTGAGATTTGGACACTTTTTCCAACAATGATATCAGTTGATGGGCTGTTTTGTCAATATCGACAGACAATTCGATCGTCCTGGGATAACGAGAAAACATCAGCACTGTGTAAAAGAATAGTACTTTCACTATTTACGAAACAAAATTTAACTCACTATCCATGCCGATCTAATATGACTAAAGCAGTTCAGGAACTAATGACTCGTACTGTATCGAACAGTAAACCGTTTTTCTTTTGCTATGGAATATCAAATGAACCTTTTTCTAATACAACATTCTAACTTTTCAAGCCAACTCATTATTATGAAATCCATCACGAGAAATATTCTCTAAAAAATCACTTTATTGTTTGTCAAGTTTTAGTAAGATTTTAATAGAATATTTTGAATTGGACTAGACTAATTAAAGATTTGATCGAAATTTCGCCAGATAAAAGTGTTGAAACTATAAATGGCAGAGTTTTCAATAGATCCGTATGATGGAAGTAAAGAAGAGATTTTCGTGTCAAATTCAAATTTTAGGTTCTGATATGTTCTAATTTCACCAGTTGGATTGATTTATTCTGATAGAGTTTTTATCGAACATGAAACTTTCTCGACTTCATCAGCTTATGATCGTTCATGTAGATGTCGAGGCCATAGTGATGACCATAGGTAGTTACGTTACTTTTTGTATGGATTCCTCAAATTTTGTGACCAGTGACGTCATCTGTAATCTAATGATCGAGTTGTGTGAAGATGTTTCAAATAGCCTATTTCATCATTGAATGGGCGCCAAAATAGCATTATTTAACTAACATCGATAGTCGGTTTCGTTCAAGATTCGACACTAACATGTATTGATGATTTCAAATATTGAATGCAATTCATTTCATATATACAACATCGTTTCAAACGAAATAAAACACTTACTCACAACATGGATAATAAAATTCTATTTTTTGGCTCTCTTAGAAAACATTTCTTCCCTATATTAAAGGATAGAAATTTTTGTATCAAAATATGACCAGTAGAAACGAATACTTTAGGCTAAGTAAAAAGTATAGAGATTAGAAAACGAAAGTTTTGGAAATTATACATATTAGTATTGTTGAATACTGACCAGTTTGAAGGAGCTCAGTTTGATTTTTCTCAAAAACCAATGTACAGAAGAGCCGCTCAACATATTTGTTTACTGATAAGACTATTGGAAGTTTGCTATCGCGCTTTACTTCATTAGATATGAACAAGAAATTATGAATGCTCATTTTAAAAAATCCTTCCAATGAAGTCCCAACTGCGCTCTAGGAATTCGATTGATTTTAATTTACTCGAAAGGGAAATTATGTATTTAGTCCAAAATCAGCTCTAGTACAATTAAAATTACAAAGATGATCATTTTATCGTTTTTTGGACTGTATGCAGCTTAAATAAAGGAATTAATCAAAGTAAGTGCAATCGAAGACAATTATCAGTAATCAAAAACTTCTCATTATAACTAACTTGATATTTTACTATTTTCCACCTTAGCTTTGAAAGTTCAAGTTTGAATCACTGCTTCTATGTAGAATCAATCCTGATTCAACCTAATTTTATCTTAAAAGTGTTAATATGTCTAAAATCATGAATGCAATTAACTTACATGTCTTTTGAAGAATTTGGATGTCGGCTGAAACCACCAACAGATTCAAGTGGATGTTCGACTATTGGTCGGACTGGATATTTTGGCGGTAGACACCTGACACATGCTAATCGGCCGAATGACTGCATGTTCAGTAATTTTCGTTTTAGTTCTTTATTTCGTAAATATTTCTCATACATCCAATCCATGTATGTTTGTTTGAATGATTTTGAATATAACTTCGTTGAAGCTATTGTATATTTTCACAAAAATAATTGTAGAAATAAATTTTAAAAAATTAAGAGTTCTTACTATTGCATTTTAATTTCCAAATGTCATCTTGATCTGCAACCGTTTTGAACAATCGACAAACAAGTGATACATTACATAGGTCAGGAACAGAAAGTAATTGAAATATTCGTAAGAGAATTTCAGTAGGAATACGATTGAATGGAGACGTCGCCAATGCGTTCTGTATTTCAGTAAGTGCCCATGAATGCTTCCAGCTGACATGAGGTGGATCCATTTGTTTCATCGAAGAAGAGGTGGAAATCGCATCATCTTTTTTCTTTTTTTTGCCAAATAATCGTTTGAACATGTAATCTAGAGAAGATACATAGCAGAATTATGCTAAGCAAATAAATTCTAAATGTCCCTAAAAAGGTTCTTTTATAATTATGATTAAAATTCGAATATTTTTTTATTAAAATGCTTGAAATAAACTGATATGAGTCGTGCTAGATTATGTATTCAAGTCGTTTCGTTCATAACCTGTCTTCGAATTTGTGTTTTGACGCGTTGATTTGAGATGTAAATGTTCGGCGGATGATCCGTTGCGAGGGGTTTCAAGCAGTAAGAAAAGTTGGTTGAGAAAAGGATCGTGATGTCCGTAATTTTTTGCTTAAAAGTCGTTGATACACAACGGAATTGTATGGGCAACAGAAGAAGTTGAACATTCAAGCACCCGTATTAACGATAATTAAAGTTACGATAAAACGCTGACATAATCGTAAACTATTCGTATTTAGATGAAAACTATATTTTATGAAGAGATGAATATAACTTGAACTATGTTATATTCAGTTTTCATCTTTATACTTTTCGATGGTGTAATGGAAAATTAGAAGTGAACACTGCTTGTACTAATTTGGGGCACTTTCAATGAGGCTAATTGGATTTTCCAATGCCTAACTTTGTATATACATGATAAGAGCTTAGGATCGTTAAGATTTCGAAGGATTCTAAGTCGTAGAAAATCGTTTGGACGATCCGACATGCGCTTTCGGTGAACGCTGGTATTGGAAGATTTGAAACTTATTCTATTCCTAAGTACTCCACTAAGAGTCAAGCTGTAGCAACTCGCATTAGTTTCAACTGCTCAAAAATAAGTATACGATCCCAAAATCAGACCTCGAAAGGATCTAAATTGCTGAAGACAGTGTAAAAATTTTGAGAAGTACGATTTTTTGCGGAATGAGCAACTTTACGTTCAAAACAATGTTTGCGTTCTTGTTGCCTCCCTTCCATGCTTTTCTAGACTCGTTTACGCTAGTGCTAATTCATGAATAATTTTGAAATCTATTTTATAATGAGTATTACTAATCTAAAATGTCGTTTTTCTTATTATTTTTAAGTATTTTCTAGAGCTAAACAGACGCAGAAAAAAAGTAAAATTAGATATGAAGTAAAAGCAAGATATCTACGATAAATATAGCGATATTCTGTTAACCGATTCAAAATCGACGAGTGCTTATTAAAGTTTCAAGTTCTAGCATAAACATGAGAATACCCACATTTATTATTTTTAAACTAAATTTTTTCATGAAACATCCTACATAATATAATAAATCAGCATGAGTAATCTTATCAATATAGCAAAACAGATGAATGAATTAAGGTGAAATCATCTCACGAAACTAGTTTTATCGAATTATTCTAGTGGAAATTCTTCATTAACCTTCGATTACTGCATGTTTTGCAAACAAAAAAGTTCGAGAAAGTTTGCACAGAAACTCTTCTCTAGTCAGTAAATTTACATTCATTATATAATAAATTAATCTAAAAGTGCACTTATTTGACCATTCAAGTCTACAGAATGTCTCTAGCAGGATTATTGCTTATGATATCGATTCTACTTAGATCTAGGCTATCTCTGTAATAACTAAGATAAAAACAAGTATCACTTCCTGAAAGTGGCACACTGTCAATGTCGATAATTTAATTCTTTTACATTATAGTATGAAGAATCATAGTAAACAGAAGAATTTTACTTGGTTGTAGATTTAGCAGTTACTTTTATCGTGCAGTTGCAGTAGAAGCCGATAGATACATCAAAGAAGTGTCGTTGTCGACAGGAGTGTTGATTCATCCTATTGAATACTGACTCAGAATTTCTCAGATGAAAAAATGACACCACTACGTAGGAGTTGAGTACATAACAGAATTTGTGGCGAAGCCATACACTAATCGATATCTGCGGCGCACAAAAAATAGACGGGAAACAAGTCAACCTAATCTTATTGGCTGTCAGTTGCATTTGCAAACGTTTTACGAAAATACTTCCTCAGACACGCTGTCTCATGCTTGTTGATCATGCGACTCAATAAAGAATAAGAAAGAAAAAAAAATATTACAACATAATAATCTCGAACCATGAATAGAAAAGTAAACGGAAAGATGTCAGGATATGTTAGAAGTCGTACGGGAAGGTGTTCGTAGACATATCATCATTCTTGATCAATTATGATTACTGATAAGTTGTAACATGAAAACAATAAGAATTTTTTTATTTGTTTTTCATAATTACGACCCTGGCACAATATATCAGTTGTCTACGCAGGGTAAAGTATATACAAACCTACTGCAATTGTCTATCATTAAAACCTTATTTCTATATCTTAATGTCTTTATCTAGCCGTAAGACGTTAGTCCTTTGCCGAACAGTAGTGCTCATTTGTGATACATGAAGTCTGAGAGCTGTCGTTCAATATCCAGAATAGATTGGTCAGAATTTATTTTTAGGTTTATAAATTTCGAATAGCAGTCGACAGCTCACAGTTTGACACTTGGAATCAGTTCAAAGAGACAACTTTTAAGTTCATTTTCTTCTTTCCTTTCTCGCTTTGTAGATCGATTGTTCAGAATAAACATGACTTCTGCCGCAAGTTCATCAAAAAGACATCGAATAGTGTAGATGTGGAAGTGAAACGCCGAAGCAGATGAATGAACAAGATATTCTGATATTGAAAATTGTACAATTGAACTTGCCTATCAACAAAACAAAAATCAAGTTGAACTGGACAATTTTTGGATTGATGTCGAGCATCAAGTTCAAATCAATAAGAAAGAGTCTAACGCATGAAGATCCATGAAGCGAGAGACAATCAACTCAGACAAATATGTGAGAGGAGAAAGATTTACATTATAAAAACCACAAGTTACCGCCAAATCATTCAGTAAGGATTTGTACGTGTCATTTGTTCAGGTAGCCGGTGTTTTTACTGAAGAGATACCCCATGAATTGATTGAAGAAGCAGCTGAAGGTATTGAAGAGGAAGGTTCGAAATTGGGAGAAAAGATATAAGCGGCATTCATGGCGAATGAATTATGAAAAGTAAATGAAAAAGGAAAACAATTTAAACGAGGTATATGGACTGAAGAAGGAAGAGTGATGAAAAAAAAATATTGAATGTTGCATCAAAATGTATACAATGGAAAGTTTCTTGTACAAACTTGTTAACAAAGTCATGAGAGAGCCAGAAATAAGAAGATCCATAAATAGTAAGTATGAGTTTATGCCTGAAAGAGATAAAATTTATGGTCGCACATTACACTCATTTTGTTGACTTTTGTGGAATTATCATGATGCGGACTGTCCGTGTGAGAGAAATACCGTTGTTTTTGGAAGCGCCAAATTCACTAACAAAATACTTGATGATTATAAAAAACATATAGGAAAAGAAGTTTTGTGGAACGCGTTTACCAGCACAGCGAAGAACAGAGACATTGCGTTACCTTATGGTGGAAACACGCTAATTCAAATTTACATTCCTCGATGGCCATTGGGTTGGGGTGCGACAATCTTGTCATTGTCCAAATATCCAGACGAAGAGACAGTTTTATTATCAACTTCGATATGGATTAAAATAAAAAAAGTTGATAATGATCATAAAGTCAGCAAGCACATCATAGACTTAGAAGTACATGGATCTGATTGAACTGGAATTGAAATTTTTGTATTTAAACACTTTTGCGATTGTAACTTTAAATTTAAAATAAATCAAAGAACAACAACAAAAACTCGAACGGGAAAATATAGAAGGTGACCGTTGCATGTCAAATCATTCAAGAAAACATTATTCTACACAACATCACACTAGGAATCGAAAAGATAAATAGTCATTATTGACTCTCACTTGTTTTATCAACTTTTGAAAACGAATATATGGTTCCAAACAGGCTCATGGATGTACGACAATAGTTCATAATAAACAAAACAAGCTACCATTTACCTAAGTTTAAAAAACCAAACAAATCAATAAACATATCAGAAACCAAGATACCCAAAAAATATCAACCAGCCGCTTTACGTGCATGAACTTGAATAATAAGTCTTTGCCTATAGTGCATTTGTGTGTACATTTTAAATAAGCTCTCACATCATCCGCGATCACAGCAACTGTTTTTTGTTGATTTCTGTATCATTTAACTATAAAGGATTATATCCACAATAGGGTGTGGGTATCGGGTGTGAGATGTGAGTGAGTGTGGGCCGTGGGTGGGGGTGAGGGT